CTAGCGCAGACGCCACAAAAATGCATATCTCGCCTGATGAACACGCGCGTTCAGACCAAAAAAATATTTACTTGCTAAAGACTGGATCATAGTAACCGACTGAACTGAAATAGAGAAACGTTTTGCCAAATCGGTATGGATAATAAACAGGTCTTCTAAGAAAAATAAGTTTAATGTCTCACGAAAATGAGCTTTTCCTCTCCTCCATCTCTATGAAAAAGCGCGTGATCTGCATCATGGAACAACAAGATGAAAATTTGCACATTGTTTAGAAAAACCAAGTCATTGGATTAACGCTGAGAAAAGCAAAGTTAGTGAGGTTCGCTTTCACGAAAATGCTTGTGTTTAATGCTTGATGTGCAAAGATCAATGAATATTTAGTCCCTCATAATAATACAGATGATGCGGAAAAAAACTCAGAAGGTATCGAGAATTTCTTGAATTAAGAAATAGGTATCGCTCGACTTAGTTTTGCCAAAGATTCAAATTTAGCCACTTCCGCCCCTGCGGAACTCCCTCCTCTGATCGTCAGCGCTAGTTCAACATGAAATCACATAAAAAGACCTAATCGCCCACGTAACTAACTCTTACACTTGCCAACAATGCTTTTCGTACCTGGAATGAGAAATCAATTCAGTATTGAGGAGCGCCACGCGCGGAAGCAAGCATGGCAGTCCGACTCACAAGGCAGCGCCGAGACCCGCCTTGTTGCTCGGCCTACACTACAGTGATGATGGATGTGCTGCATCATACGGGGTGCATACCGAATACCGTCCCTACACTACAGTGATGATGGATGTGCTGCATCATACGGGGTGTATACCGTCCTACACTAACAGTGATGATGGATGTGCTGCATCATACGGGGTGTATACCGGCCTACACTATAGTGATGATGTATGTGCTGCATCATACGGGGTGTATACCGTCCTAGAAAGAACACGGCATACGCTCATTAATGAGTATCTCAAGTCTAAACTTTGAATATTCAATATGCGAGTATGATATAACCAACACATCGAATGTTCACATTCAGAGAACTCGACACTATCAGAAAACACCGCACGAGAACACGCAAAAAAGTACGAACACGTGAACATGGCTCGACCAGGTTTTGAGTTGCCCAAAATCATTTCAGTAAGCAAAAAAAAAAATATAATTGCGAGGTCTACTAAGTTCAATACATTCCGGGAAATGGAACTACATGCACACCCAACAAAAGAAATCATTTACAAAAATAAAAGGACTACTCAAAATTCGGCATTGTTACATGAAAGATCACTTTATGTTGATGATTGATCTTGAATTGGTAAATCGCTAAACTTTAAGGACAATTTCAAAACTGTTAAGTTTGAGCAACATCAGTTTTCTCTGGTGGGGGACGTAAGCATAGAAAACTTTGACGTCAGACGGGATACTACACTAAAATAGAAAGACAATCTAACTTCCATCTAGGAAATGCGATTGTGCAAACTCGGCTAGACTGTGATTCACGCAACATAATCCAAAAATGAATACGTAACGGTAATAACAATTTTTAGTGTCGTCCGTGTACTTGTGTGAAAGCATAATTTATTAGTATTTGGCTAGCGTCTTTTATTGTGGAACAAAGAATTCTCTTGACGACCGCGTTAGTGAGTCACGAGGTGGCCTCGAGGCCCTCGAATTCCTTGTCTGATTCGCGATAACAATTTGCTTCAATTTCTGTTAAGCATTACCGAATATACCATCCGTCGCCTTGCATGCTGCTGATTTCTCAATGCGCATCGGCAGTTTTCGTGCACTTAAAATTTGAAAGTCTCAAGATACGCGAAATACAGGCAACAAGCTGCATGAAGAGAAGAAAAGTTGAAGGCAAACCGCGATACAGACGAAAAGAAGGCATTTCTTTCACACCTCATCCCTTCATCATCGCCGAACAACGCAAACCATAGATATATGCCACCATCGCCATACCTGACGATTAAAAGATCCTAAAAGCTTAATTAGAAGTGTTTTAGACATTAGAATGGTATCTTGTAACTTGATGGCTCTTCATTGGCATCTTGGGTGTCTTGATTATCTTGGGTATCTTGGAGTTTTCTTAGTGAGTGAATTAGGAGTGTTTAAGAAATTAAGAGAATTTCAATCCATAGCATTTAAATTTCACTAAACAAAATCCTAAAGAACAAGCAATGGCTAGAAGAATTTCGCAGCTGGGGCAGGCATTCCGCCCGTCGCCCACACACTTGCCCTAACAACGCCTCTTTCGCCCACGCTCGTCCATGGGGATACGGACGCGGGCCTCCGTCTTCGCAAAAAAAAAAAAAAAATTAATAAATGCCGTCCTGCTCTTGATTGCCAAGACAAATGCGTCGTGAAACAGCTCCATAGAATGAATATTAATGCTGTTAATGAAAATTTCTGATAAATATTATTGGTAAATTATCGGGGATATTAAGAACACCAAAAAACGGGTCGACATTTGAGAATTTTTCAACAATTAAATCAACAGATTACCCTGCACCCAAAATCATCATTGCAGAACTAGATACCATACGTCGAGCAGGAAAATAGAATAATCAGCAGATTTGAAAGTAACTTGAGCACAAGATTGCTCCAGTAACTAAAAAAGCTTCACATAATGTTAAGATAATTGAAATTATTTCGAGATATACACGCTTCTAAATAATAGGATTGCCAAACATCAGCGAAAAATTGCTAAAATCCATCATTATTTGAGAACAGTTAAAGTCATAAGTGCCTACTGTACTATGTGTCAAGTTTAAAGCAGCTGAATTTAACCACTAAAAAACAATGGCGTTTTTTCGGTGGAATGCGAACTTCTGTAGCTAAATTAACGACGTGAGACAGGGATCATAAAAATTGTGTAATGAGAAACCGAAGTCAAAACTGGATGAAAAAAGTATAGCATTAGATTTATACGACGGATAACAATGTTTTGAGACTCGGCAGCCGTAAGAATCACAATAATAGCTAGAAACATCCATCATTGAGTATTGTTTACACCATTCATGTTTTATGTGATTTAAAACGGCTCTTCACAATTAATGCGTACATGAGTGAAAAAATAGACTTCAAAGGCATAAACTTACCTTTGACGTCATCACGAACTGCTTGCACATAACCTGCCTATACTTTGACAAGGAAAAAATTTGTACCAGAAAAAAGTTAATGGCATAAAAAGTATGCTAAATTGTCAACATTGACACACTCTAAATTTTGGGAGAAGACAAGAGTACAAAAATAGGCATTGAAAAATCTAAGTAACACGAATGCAAGTTTGATTACCAGATTAATAACAAACGGACATCAGAGCTGACCATGAAATACTTAGACACAACAAACGCTGGCCACTAACTACAACTAATAACGCGAACAACAATACAACACACCAGCATGCACGTGAATGGCATAATTAACTCAAATAAATAGGAATATAAGAGCAACTTGCAACATTTATGCAGTCCCTCTACATACGAGTACAATTACGATGATGCGTAAGGGGCCAGGTATACACAAAGGACTTACTTGTTGGTGGCTAGGCGGCAATCATTGAACTACACAATTTGTATTATTAAAAACACCAAACACAGACAATGATTATAAATCTAAAAGTTTTATAATAAAAACAACCATAGCGGAGGGAAAGAGATACTACAATAATGCTCCACGCTCAAGACACGCCCAGTAATCAGCAATAATAATCAAGACGATGAATGCCAACAGCTTTACACGTAAAAGAAAATAAAATGTTTAGGGCAGTAATGACGATTTATTCTGATAAACCGATTTTTAACACATATTTGAAGGGAGACTATGATTGACGAGGTGCTTAATAAGCTATTAAGAAGCTTGGTTCGGACAGATTATTTATTCTTGAGTACTTTATATCCCAGGAATGAACATTGTTAGCTCGCGGTTGCTTGCTTTTATACTGCATTTTGTATGAATAATTAACTACTCAAACTCATAAAAAATTAATTGAACGTAGTAAAAATAATGTTAAAAACACTAAGTGATCAGATGAAGAAAAATTCAATCAAATGCCAAATTGAAATTAGATTTTGGAAGAGGAGTATATAGTATTTTAAATTATTAGCCGTTCAAGATTACGAGAAAAGATCGGACGTACCGCAGTGAAAGTACAACTAGTATTATTATATTACTGAACCAGCATTGGTAATCAGTGAAATCGCTTCAATCGATAATAACTACAAATGAGTGCCAGATTGTTGCCAGTTTCCACGCATCTTTTCTCTTCGAGAACGACAGAAGAATACGAGATAACTTTACACTTGCGGCCAGCGTTATATGTGTGGGTCGATAAAATGGCGACCTCTGATCCCAACGATCAGGGAGTGGTTAGAGTTCTAGTTCTCGTTTAACAATCACAGCAGAGAAGAATGCAAGGCTCTTTGGTAATACATACGAGCTCAGGTCAAACACAATCCAGCATGAATAACCTTGATCTCAGCAACAGTAAATCAGTTGCGTGCTTAGTTAGGCGAGGTTCAGCAGAGCACCGACTTGCTATAGGCAAACCAAATTTTAAATAGAATTCCGCACAGGAAAATTATTGCTATTACTTCATCATTTATCTCGAATAAATCATTATCTATTCAATTGTAACAATAGGTCTATTTATTCTACTGTTAACCGTTAATTGGGATTTTTGAATCATTTGAAATGAGGCTACTAACAGCAGTCAAACAGTTAAGCTATCAAATTAATAAACAGAGCAAACTTATCTGCCATAATTATCTTCCAGCACCGTCAATCATTGTCAATTTCAACAGAAATATTCTTATTCGCTTCAACATTCTATACCAGATTTTATTTGAATCGACCTGTAAAGTCTCACAAAAATGCGATTTTTCGCCCTAGACCTATTTCACGAGGCATTCTTATCTCGCAAATTTTCTAGGAAAGAGAAAATGGGCTTTCAGATATGAATGGATGATTATTTCTAATAAGGAATGCGGTATGGTAAGCCTCACCTGAATGGTATCGGGACTCATTCCTGGTAACTCGTCGGTGCTGCCGCCGCCGTTTAGAGGCGGACAAATTGGCGGCGGCGGTGGCGGTGGCGGAGAGTTCACTGCTAATCGAAGCCTTGGAGTCGTTGAGACTAACAACTCCTGTGTCGCCACCTACAGTTTGTGTTGTGGCGTCAGGGGCGTAATGAGGTGACAGTGAAAATGTTTAAATGAGTTGTGGTTTGCGGGGTCAAGTGAGAAGGGCTTGCTTGGAGTGAGTGTAATAATGTGTGGCATGGTTTTAGGGAAAGCAAAGATCGTGAGAGAAGAAGGTGAAAATAGTCAAAATAGTCCAGATTTTCTGAGTACAATGTTCGATGTCATGGATCATCATAAATTTTCGGCAAAATTTTCAGATTGATGGCATGGATCATCACAAATATTCACCAAAATTTTCAGGATGTAAGCCGGCATTGAGTAAGGACTCAATTTTGAATAGATAGTGCATCAGTGTTGAAATAAAGTTGAAAGATATATTTGCATCAACGAATATACGTGGTGGTGAAACGTATCCATGAAGTTGAAGGCGTCCATAATAAGTAAGCATATTTTGGTTGTGAATGATAAAGGAAAGCATTGAGTAAGAGAAAATAGTGGTGGGTATAGAATGGATGTGTGGTGACACGAGGAGGGGAGATGAGGGGCAGACAAAGAAAAATCATTGGCAAAATAAATATAAGACGATAAATTAAAAAAGGCATCATCCATCATCACCCCACACATACCCAACAAATAGTGATACACTACAACAAAGGTTTGGAAAAAATCGTATAAATCACAAAAAAAATAAATGATTCACCAGGTACAGAAAAAAATCTTACGACAATTTATAGAAAAAAACAGATAGAAAAATTTTGGGAAAATCCTACAAATCACAAATAAATAAATGATGCACCAGGTACAGAAAAAAAATCTTACGACACTTAAGAAAAAAATGGGTCAAAATCTTAAAAATGATGTGCCTGAATTTCGGGTTGCTATAGTTGCAGGAGCGACATGGCACACAATGAGATTTTATCGTTGGATGATAATACATTATTGTATGTTCTCTATCCGTTAATTAAACTGGGAATCACAGACTGCTATATCATTAATTTCTACGCGAATGTTGTACGGCTTGACATAAACGAATACTCAAGTACCGGTATACTTTAAGTAATACCAAGATACTTTGAAGAGTAGACGAAATACGAGATGATGCGTTGAACAGATGAACTCATTACCTTTGAGACAGTAATCCTTCAGGAATTAATAACAATTGGCATCTAAAGACAAAATACTATACCGAATAGAACGAAACAACGCCAGACAACACAGCTTCAATATCAATAAAATAATCACGAATTTGGGCTTTTAGGAACAACATTTAAGTGTTGCACACTCATGCATAAAAACTGTTCGTGCACACGTCATGCACATGCAAAAATATTGCGCAGACTAAAATGTTTCAGAAAATGTTTATTAATGCTGAGAAAAACAAAGTTGCTCGAGTTTCTAGATGAGTCTCACTTTACTGTAAGAGAAGAGGAACTCCTGAGCACTTGAACCTTTAAAATGGCACAAGCCCAAAACTTTTAGTGAATTGAACGCCGAATTAAAGAGGCCTGTCCAAAAACTGAACAGGACACGTATTTGCACATACGACACAATAATAATGATGGAACTTAGCTATTTACAAGATTGATCTCCTAATTGGAAATTTGCAAAGTTTGTCTCAGCACAACTGTCGACATTCTCAAGGTTTATGACCAACATTATAAGAAACTGTTCCATGCAAATTACAGTGGCAGGCGAAGACTACCCGGAAAAGTTACCATCTATCTTCAAAAGGAAGGTTCATGCAAAATTGCTAAAAATACAGGCTGGTTCATTGGGTGTCCAAGCTAATTTGGATCCATTGTCTCCGGTTGTGCAGGAGAAACAACAACCACAGGATAACAGGTACGTGCCCAGTGAAAATTTACAGACGCGGCAGCTTCTGCTTTGGATTACCAGAAGCTGGGGCGACTCTAAATTTTGTTAGGGTGTGAGCTGGCAGTAGTAGAGGGCACAACACATGAGGTACCTGAGAGGTAGCGCTGCTCATGTGAGGTCACACTTCGGTTCTGAGGTCTTCGAGGGCGACCTCCTCCTCCGGAGTCGGCCCCCCGCCTCGAGCGAGGCAGGGGGGCTGGCTGAGCCCCAACTCCTGAGGCTGAGCCCGCTGCATGCAAGGCAATATGAACCCACGCAGCGTTATAGGGGGTTAGTAAAGCGTTATGTTAGGATTACTTCAAGGCATTGTACAGCGTCACATGTTAGTTGTGCATATGAGTTGTTAGAGTTTTTGAGAGCGTTACAATGCATTGCTAAAGTGGTTATAGGTGTGAAAAGCAGGAGATGTAATTTGTTTTAGGTGTTTTAATTGGTAGTCTTGAGTTATGTACAGGTATTCGACAACTTTTCATTAAGCCCAAGCTCACAGTGACATTCGGTGTGATTCAGACATTCGGTATTATCACACTCACAGTCATACAGAATATGTTAACGAGATATACGCTTATGAACACCACATAAACGACTGTAAAAAAGGAGACTGTGAAAAAAGAAAGAAATTTCTCACATGATCCGACTTTTCAAATGTTTAATTAATTCTAACACAGTTAACAGTTCCAATAGAACTTATGTCTTACCATGGAATGCATGGATTGAAAAGATATTGAAGGATAAAAGAAACTACTAAAAATACAATACTATAGACTTGAGTCGCCAATAATATCACAACATAGAACGAGATGAAAAAAATGAATAATCACCAGAGTTTGGCCCGGGCATCAAGACTCGACTATTCGAAAATCAAAAGAGACCCATCAGACTAAAACATGACAAAATAATTCGATATTGCTTACATCATTAGGAAACAGAACCTTTTTTTTACAAAACGCATCACGTCATCAAGAAGTGCATAATAACGACTTAAAAAACTCATAAGAATCAGAACATCAGTGAATAAATATACTAATTTGAAAACTCCTCAGAGCATCAGTCCATTCATCCACAAAACTTGAAATCATCGCGGTATCAGAGGCAAGCTTGCGATTTCCTGTAGAGCGCCGCACAAAGAGAAGCCTCGGGGCCAGATATAGCTCGATGGCAACATAAATGAGTCTTTCATCTCTTGAAGAACTTGCTTTGGTTAATAAGTGTAAGTTTTACGAAAAATGAAAAAAAATTACCACTTTCGTTATTTATAAGTCTAAGTTTTATGAAAAAATGTAAAAAAATACCATAGTTAATGGCTAATGTTTTGTCGCTAAAGCCTCGACGTGGGTTAGTTGCAAGTGACGAGTTTCAACAATTAATTAATTGGCAGTTGCTGCTTCCAACTGTGGAGCATCAATACCTAAGCTTTGAATTTAACTACCCCAAGAGATTCGATTTCAATCTACTAATAACATTTATTTAATCGAAATAATCCAACAAAAGCTTTAACAGTATAAACTGACAAGGTACAACGCTGCACCTCATCACATCACGCATATAAGTCATCATTCTAGTAATACTTAGCTTTCTTTTAGGGATTTGATAGTATATATTCCTCCAATAATGAGAATTTTTCGAAAGTGTTATTCAAGAAATATTTAAAACTCGTAAATCAAAACATGAAACCGGAAGTGTTACAATAGAAGTAAAGTTTGAACGAATGCGCCAGGTGAGACTGCCGGTAAGTTTAGGCATCGTTTACGATCAGTGAACACAAGGCGGTGCCAACGGCACAGTGTTAGTATACTGACGTCTCCAGAAGCCTCGCCATACCGAAGCGCAAGCACATGTGTCAGCTCGTTTTCAGTTTTGACCGTGAACAGGCACACACTCAAGGGTTGAACTTTCTATCCTTCACTGCACGATTACATTCTCATCAATGTTATAATCTTGACTTATTTTGCCGTGAAAATTATATTCAATATTACGATAGCTTAACCCTCTACCGCCTGACATGAGTAATCGGAGCAATATTGTCACAAGCCTACTTCACAAGAAGGATCCGTTCTAGTGAGCGCAAAATGACTTGCACTGATGGTTGCCGTCACGTACCTACTACAACTTTAAAATGTTCTCTGTTGAGTACCAACGTCCTCAGGTTGCTATAACACTCAATAGTTTACGTATTATTCAAGTTGAAAGTTATGTTCCTGGAGAGTGACATACCTACGGCGGTAGGAGGTTAGAGTGCTAGACCGTCATTTGAAGCGGCCTTGCTTTGATGTGGCGTTCGCTATTGTCTCAGCAAACTAGTCGTCATAACTAAGATTGAGCCCCGGTTCAGCGAATACTTGGATGAAGATTGTTGAAAGAGTAAGGTCATGAGCAGTCAAGAGTTAAATTTACTGTAATTTGAGGAAGGTGGGCGAAATGACTTTATTTCCGATGCACAACCGTAATCTGTTCCAATAAGTATAAGATCGCATCGCTACCCATTTTGTTGACGAAGGTGCAAGAATTAGCAGGATACTCTATTCTATTCCTACTTTTTAACTACCTTGTTTGAATTAAGTTTCCGAAATGGGCGACACTCAATTCATTAACATTTCAGCTTGAACAAACAGGTTCATCACGTTAGCGAAAATGCAACACCAAACTAACTATGGTTCCTATTTAACGCGATGTCAACTGATATTACACGATTCACAACATTAAATCCATCTCAGTATCTCGCCAAAGCTTTACTGCATTCCAATAGGGCTAGAATTGCGAATATATACAGGGATAAAATCACCAATATAATATACTGTATTGCAATAGGGATAGAATCCCGATGCACAAGACATCACTATAGGAAATGCCACAACAGAAACAAGAAGGGATCTCAGCCGATCCTCAAGATAACGTATATAGGGGTGATATTCAGCCCAGCTCGTAGACTAGTATAAGAGCTCTAGGCCATCCGCACAACAAAATTGTATGAAATTATCCTGATATTGCACCCATGGTCATAGACGTGCCATGGGTTGCCAGCAACGATTGTGGGTGCGGCACTCTTGCCGTCATTTTTATTCACGGTTTGCTCTCATTGTTTATTGAATTCATGTAACATTTTCGAACTAAACAAAACATTTAACAGCAAATTATTGAAATTTATTTGTAAATCACCGATAACGAACTAACAGCCAATAGCACCTGATAAGCCACACCTAATTTGATTCGAATATGATGAATTTCCGTGCATGATTGTGCATTAAAATACACAATACAATTGCACTGAAGCGCGATTTAACTTTTAATTTTACGCACCGTAATGAGACACTATTAAGCACTGATAATTAATTAATTAATATTTGGGTTGTTTAGATAGGACAAAGTGCGACAATAATCGGAAGTCGCGTTCACATCCAGTTTATACCGTAATATTTGCATGATGCGAGAAACATCGGACAAATTCGTGTTGCTAAGTAAATTAAAAACAGAGTTCAATGGAAGAAAATGTTTAATGTCTACAATTATTACGGAACCAAGAAGCTAGCAGATTGCACCCAAGCCATAAAAACGAAACCAAACTAATGAAACATAGAAATAAATCGAGACAGGTGCTTGAAGAGAGAGAAAATGAGACGAAAAATTATAATAATTTTATCAAAAAACAACAGAACAAAAATTAAAAGATATGCGATACCCCAAACCAAATGAGTTGGATAATTCACACCAAGCATTAAAATTGTAGTAACTTACTTGTAATTTGCACCAATAATTCGATAAAAAAATACCCAATACCATAACGGAAGGAACAATTCGATAGATATTTAGGGAGAACCGAAAATAAGTAAAAATCTGTTCGACCGACCGCAAGCGAACTACAGTGAACATTGCTAGGAATACAACAAATTTGAACTTTAACTTTTAACAAACTTTAACGATAGTAACTAATGCTTTCAAAATCAAATAAAATGAAATCCAGAAATGAGGAAAAATGGATACCTCTTTCCAATATTTAATTAGGTTATTCAGAAAACGCTGTGGTAAATCACAAATAACCGCACACATCATATTAACTACGATTAACCTCATTTCATGAAAGTTCTGTCCGCGCGACAAAAATCTACTCTAACCGACCATCAAGACAATATTAGCAGATACAACCGAAGAAAATAATGCTGTTCATGACCGACTATAGACAGAGATAGTCAGATTTTTTTAGAAGGATTGCAGGGACGATGCGGATCACGCCGAATTTCCAACACTTCAACATTCCCAACAATTTCCGACACTGCAGTAAGGCTGATTTAATAAGGTTGATAATTAATAATAAGCTAGGAACCCACCAGAGCCAGAGTCCTTCTGAGCGTAGGGCTGCAGCAACCGAGTACGCTTCTTCTCGTAGCCCTTCTGTGTGATGTCGCCTGCAACATACAAAATGCATGCGTTAATACAATGATAACGTTATTTTCACGCACTGCAGTAGCACGATGATTTTATGAAATATAAACTAAATTAACTACATGGTGTGTGTGATGTCGCCTGCAACATACAAAATGTAAATGCTATTACAATGATTACGTTATTTTCACGCACTGTAGTCGCACTAAAATAAAAAAAACTTAAAGCTAAATAAACAATTAAATGATTACGTTATTTTCACGCACTGCAGTAGCAGTAAGATATTTTCAATAAAAACTAAAAAAAAAAAACAATTAAATGATCACGTTATTTCAGGCACTGCAGTAGCACGATAATTTTTTAAAATAAAAACGAAATAAATAATTAAATGATTACGTTATTTTCCCGCACTGCAGTAGCACGATGATTATATGAAATAAAAACTGAATAAACAATTAAATGATTACGTTATTTTCACGCACTGCAGTAGCACTATGATTTTTTAAATAAAAACTAAATAAACAATTAAATGATTACGGTATTTCACGCACTGCAGTAGCACTATGATTTTTTAAATAAAAACTAAATAAACAATTAAATGATTACGTTATTTTCACGCACTGCAGCATCACGATGATTTTTTTAAATAAAAACTAAATAAACTACATTGTTGCCAAACACTTGCAACCACGTAGACCTCAACACAAACTTTACAAACTATTAAATGAATAGTTTTCCATAACATAGAAAAAATATTTGTTCATTACATGAGAATAATGGGATACGGAGGAATCGAAAGAAAAATGGCAATGTATATCATTACGAATTAATGATTGATGAAGGCAGATGAGCTGTTCCAATTTCAAACAAGTTCAAGCCCAGAAAATAGAAAAAAAGGCAATTTACATCATAATACAATGAATTGTGTAACTATATCATGGATATTTGTTGTGATCATTTGACCCGAGTACATATCTGATCGCATTCTCTCAAAATGAATCAATTAATGTCATTGTCGAACAAATCTCTTATTACGCTTGAATATGCAATATTGATAATTAAATGTCACGGAGTGTCGCATGAGAATAGATATCTTTGTTGATGTCAAGGTAAAGCACAAGACTGTATTGTGATTACCCTCAGGTTTAATGTTCTTCCAGTGAATATCATAACAGAGATAATGACAGCATCGTTCATATCTCGGGGAGTTTTATCATTCAACTTGAATTTATTGAATCTTAAAGCAGCAATTCATTAGTCGCTAACACTTGCAACTTGGCATCATATTCTATTGGAATAATTTCCTTCACTACATAATATAAGTCAATTTCACTATAAACCATACAAATATGACGGTCATGACGGTGAAATTTATGCACTGATAATTCAATGAAAAGCGGAATTGAGGAGGGGATCAGCGACAAAAGTAACTTTATTTGTGTCTGATGAACAACGATTTTCAAGAACTCTCTACGATTTACACCAAAGTCTCGTCACTATGTCGTTGAAACATAGATGCTTATCATATTAAATAGAAAAGAGTATAAAATGTGTGTGCAATTTATTACTTTGATGTTAAACCGAAACAAACAATTACTACGAAATAAGATCAGCGTAGACGGTGCCAGAAGCTTAGTTAGGTCGATTATAGATGTAGAATTTGAGCCACGAGCATCCATATGGTACCAATAACTATGGCAAAATCATCAATGTAAGAATAACACTTTATTTCATTAGCAGTAGTGCAAACACAGCTCGCACCTTAGGATTTATGCGAGTACTAATACTGATGACGACAAAATAGAATAAGATGATCAACTGAATCTCGTTAAAAATATCGCAATTTAACTTTTTAATTGCATGTGGTTCTAGGAAAGAAAAAAAAATACACATTCAAACACATGTAAAGACATATGGGAGAGTAGAAACAGTTAAGTAGCTATAGTAGCTATACACGTTCACTTATGAAGTCATACGTATAGAGCACGTTAAGAGAAGCATGTGTGTGCACGGCAGCAGTAAACGTCGCAAGTGAGCGGCTGGGTAAATATGTAGACAAGGAGCCGTATGTGTCGTCAGTTTGCCCACTGAGAGCACACACTAGAGCTAACAAACAGTCTTGACTTGGGAACAATTCGCATGAGAAGTGGGGAGGTCTGGTGTGCTGACCGCGCTGGGGCTCCCTTGTGACCTGACATTCAGGGGACAATGACACCAGCTGGCAGGACGGACACGTAAGTTGATGTGCCAGTGAGTTGGCAATACAAGTTGCCAAGGCATCGGCACAAGTTGACAAGGCATCGGCACAAGTTGCCAAGGCATCGGCACAAGTTGTCAAGGAATCGACACAAGTTGTCAAGGCATCGACACAAGTTGCCAAGGCATCGACACAAGTTGCCAAGGCATGGACACAAGTTGCCAAGGCATGGACACAAGTTGCCAAGTTAGTTAGTTAGTTAGTTTAGTGGCCAAATGTTTACTAGCGCTTCAGCTATTTAGCTATCTCGCACCGAAAGTCAAGATGAACATCACCATAGAGGTGGAAGGTCTCAATTATTCATCACCCACAAGGGGCGGAAGGTCTCAGATGTCCAGCCCGCTACACAAGTTGACAAGGCATCGACACAAGTTGACAAGGCGTCGACACAAGTTGCCAAGGCATCTATACCTACACAAGTTGCGAAGGCGTCGACACAAGCTGCCAAGGCATCGACACAAACTGCCAAGTGTAATGACGACTCAGTTGGTGTAATGATAATACAAGTTTGTGTAATAACACAAATTGTCGTTTTAATAACGCAGGTTGGTGTATCTATAACACAAGTTGGTTTATCTATAACAGATGGTGTAACAATGACTTCAGTTGAAAAGGCGATAATGCAATTATGCATGGCGAAATCGTAGCCTGAATTTAAAAAGGACGCAAGATACGAGTTCAAAGTATTGAAATTTATTCGCGAATACTATAATTTTTCCGTTATAAGATTCAATACGATTGCCACAGCAGTCCTAATGACTACTGCTGCCATAACAACAAAAATAGAGTCGGCACGAAAGCGGATCTGTTTCAGGCAATGAAATTCCGCCTCCGTTTTAATTTTTTCAATATGACTCAAGTCATCCAAAATTGTTCGGTGACCTATGGTTTCCTTCTTAAACTTCACGATTGAAACAGTAAAATGAAGTTAGTCGTTCTACGTAATAATATTGCAATTCATCGATGAATAACTGGTAAATTTAAATGTCAAAATTTAAAGAGAGAAGCATACTGAAAATCATAGATTCCTTTTTCATAGCTATCATTAAAAGTCTAAAAGATTTTTATTCTTAAGCAAGTAGGAACAGGAAGAGTCATATAAGAACAAGAGCACTGAGGAAGATAGCAACAGAGCATGTTAAGTGCGTTACAATTTACGAGCTTCGACCGTTAGCAAAGGGACCTTCAACTCGGTTAGTGTTATAACATAACATAACATAACATAGTGATGTCGGCTCTGAAGTGTAGGCCTGATGTGGCCTGTCGCCGATTCTTTTCCATTTCGTGCCTTGTTCATAGATCTAAACTCGTGTCATTTGACCGGATCTTTTCATGACTGGCGATAGTTTGAAGAAGCTACTAGACTTCCACCGGGTTCGATAAGGAGCTAGGCATTTCAAATCTGAACATATATTTTTCCATAGCTTTATCTAGTCTGTTCTTGAACGCGTTCATACTTGGAGCTATAGCAACACAATCAGAAATAACCACATACAAGAGCAAATTTCAACACAAATTTCAACATAGGAACCAATTTTAACAATTACAACAACTGCAATGAAAAATATTGATTGAAAACCAAACTGATGAGAGTTGTGGCTGCAAGTAATAAAATATCATGGGAGAAAACGAATGAATTTGATGCAGGAAACGGCAAAAACAAAAAGCTTCCAGCCGGTTAAAAACATCTTCACAGAAGTAATAATACTTCAAACAATCCCCATTCAAAGCAAAGAATTCTGCAGGAGCAACAAGTGAACAGGAATGACGAAAAAAGTGCAAAGAATTTGAGCATAAATACAGGAGTGAACTGACCGAAGAAATAAGCGGTGCAGACGTTCATACTTACAAGAATATTACCACAAATATCGACTATAGCAGATAAATCTAAAGTATAGATTACAAAATCTTCGCTCGAATGACTAGCCATTATCAAATCATATGAAAGTAATTCAGTACAAATATTCAGCTTGCACTTTCCATGTAATCCGAAAGCATTAATAGCAATTTATTTGTCGAAAACAAATTTCCTCGTCGTATTGAGTTTACGGTTTTTAAAACTATGAAGGGCAGGACTAATTTGTATGCGATTGCTTCGACGTCGAATAAGAGAGACCATACATGACGCGAGGGGAGAACTTGGCGCACGACAGTCTTGCAGCTCGCAAGGTTTTGGTACATGAAGCATCACGAGCGTGATCAAACGTGCCTCAAGTTGATGGAAAGCTTTAGCTTTGAAAGCTTACATCGCACCTTAAATTGGATATAATTAAGCGGCTTTCGAATATACATTGCTTGATGAAAAGCGTAAAACTATTAGTAGTATCGGCATTACCACTGGAAATAATCCGACACGTAAAGAATAGATGATAATTTTAATGATGATAATCACAATTAAACACAATTAAAGAGAATGGAAAAAATCGAGACAATCCTACGCGCTGGAAGTGGTGAGAATACGTAAATGAAAAGCGTTGCAGCGAATTGAGACTATCCTACACATTGGTAGGGATGTTAATCCTGCACATGAAGAGCAAATGAAAAGCGTTGCAGCGAATTGAGACTATCCTACACATTGGTAGGGATGTTAATCCTGCACATGAAGAGCATATATACGACGTATTGAGACGATCCTACACATTGAGAATAATGATAATCCTGCACATGACGAGCATGCGGCGAATATTGAGACGATCCTACACATTAGTAGGGATGTTAATCCTGCACATGAAGAGCATGCGGCGAATTGAGACGATCCTACACATT